ACATACCCATAGAGAGTTCAGGTTTAAACAAAAAATGAATGAATGCATACAATAGTAATAATAATCACTTTATTATAGACAATAACAATCATACAGAATGGAATTTTTAGTGTTATGTAATCGAATGAAAGATACCCTTCTTATATTAACTCTAACTGTGTATGCAAATTCACAGGTATCTGTGGAAGGAGTTACATTGGAAGAACAGAAGGGAGAAGTACACACCTCCGATTTTCTAAGCATGCTGCGAAACGCCCACGTCTCTAAAGATAAAATGGCTACAATACTTCCATTACCAGGTATCTCCTTGATACGGGTCATGAAGTGGACATCGAAAAATCCTTCAAAATTATCAATAGGCAAAACAGTTCAATTCTCATCACCGTTGCCGAAGCAATCTCCATTAAGCGTCCGAAACACGACCTATGTGTTCAGAAACAAGCAGTTATCAGTCTTCCCTTACTCAGATAACTGGATGATTTCATTCTCTCTTTCATTCGATAAGATAACGCTGAAAATTCCACTCTGTGTGATTGTTATTTTATCTAATAAAGCGATAATTATCATCAAGATGGTATGCATACATTGATTTTTGTTTAAATTTGAACTCTGTGGACAAAACTCAGTAATAAAATTTTGTTTGGTTCTACAGTGCAAAAGTTCTATTCCTATATTAAGAATTCAGTCTGAATAAAAGAAACGACTAGACACATCACACTATTTACTAGTGTCCAGTCAAAGTACTGTTTACAGCCCTACAGAATGTCAATCTTGATCCCGAAATGCTCAGAGGGAACATCTCTGACTGCAGCACTGGGTGATGGGGGTTCAAATCGCAGAAAAGAGACATGAGTTCCTTCAAGGTTGCAGAGACGCCTTACTAACGAGTGCCAACTAGCATGAAGCCTAGGTACAAGGCTTCCCGAAGCCGATTGCCTCCAACCACCTAATCCCATCAAAATGCAAGTCAGTATGATAAATGTCTTGCGTTATCACTATTAAGGCTGAGTAATGTTAAAGTATTGTGATGACCGCATGACATCTTATATAGTATTATGTAATAAAAACCTTATTTGTGAACAGTGTAGCTAAAATTAACAAATTTGTAATCAACCTACCATATTAGATATTTGGCTTGTGTATTTTGGGTCTGCCATAGAATCGAGGTAGGACTGATCCATTGGACTTTATTCTCCATTGGTCTGGTTTTGTGATCTCTCCAGTTCTAGTGAGCTTGTTTAAGGTCCTTTGGATGTGGTTGTCCAATGTTTGTATGGGATTTGTTGGAAGATGTTGATATAAATCCTCGTCTTTGAGTAGTTCTTCAGCTTTCTTGGTGTATTCCATTACAACCAATTGTATCACTCCCAGGAACTCCAACATAAAATTTATCCAAAGAATTATACAGAAAACTAAAACACCTAACGGAATCTTGCGATCACTCCATCAACTCTGCTATCCAATTCCTAGAGAACATCAAAGGCATCCAAGTAGATGAACAAGAAATAATGATATCCTTCAACGTTACAGCATCATATACCTCAATCGGACAAAAACTAGCAAAAGAAACCATGGAGCAATTACTTAGCAACGACGAACAACTTCCACAACAATCAAAAATGCAACACACAAGCTGCGTGGAATGCATAAATCTATGTCTAACAACATACTTCCAATTCAATGGTCAAATATATGAAAAAGTCAAAGGAACACTCATGGGATCGACAATATCAGTGATGCAAAGACTCGAAAACATAATTCTACCAAAGATCAAACCCAAGATTTGGATACGCTACGTCGACGACACATTTGTAATAATCAAAAGAAACGAGTTAGATAAAACTCACAGCTTAATAAACAACGTCTTCAACGACATCAAATTCACAAGAGAAGAAGAATCCGAGAACCAAATACCATTTTTGGACGTCTTAGTCAAGAGAACAACCCCAGGGGAATTAGAAACTCAGGTTTATAGAAAATTAACTCACACAGACCAAATCCTGAAATACAACAGCAACAATCCAATAACACACAAATGAATTGCATAAAAACACTATTCAACAGGGCAAGGACTCACTGCAGCACTCCCACCTTAAGGATAATTGAAGAAAAATATCTCATGGACGTCTTCCAAAAAAATGGATATCCAAGGAACTTCATAAAAAAACATACCCCCAAGACAAACTATCAAACCAAAAGCCCCAACCAAGGAAAGCACAAAGAAAATCGCCTTACCATATATAAAGGATGTCTCAGAAATCACTACAAGACTCTTCTAACCTTTAGGAATTGATATCGTACACAAACCAACAAAGTCACTTCACTCAATTCTATGTCAACCAAAAGACCAAAATAAATTGTAACAACTGCGAAAAGCACTATATTGGTCAAAGTAGACGTCCCCTTCGTCTTCGTATCCACGAACATAAGCTAGCCGTCAAAAGACATGATATCAACTCCCTCATATCACTATGCGCAGACAACCACGGACATCAATTCGACTGGGACAACGTTCAAATATTAGACAGAAGAAACAACAAGAATGCTAGAGAATTTTTAGAAGCTTGGCATTCCAGTGAATCATCAATCAATAGACACATAGAAATAGGCAAAATTTATCAACTGATAAGAAAGAAACTTCACACACAAAGGGTCAAAGTTCAAGCCAAAGAAACAATCAATTCCAATACAAGTAGCCTAGAAGATGTGAAAACACACCAAAACAACTAATCACGTCCAAGATCACCAGGAGAGATGATTAATAAATTCGTGGAGAAATCTCAAAGCTCACTTCAACAAATTGAAGTATGCGCTGAAGATGTCGCCTAGTAGGGTGATGAAAGCTTCGCAAATTAACCATCCAGCTCAGAGAATTCAAGCACATCAAAATCAACCACCTTAGCTAGAGATCTTCTCTATCATATCTAAATTCAGTAGAATTGTTGTGGTTACTCGCTATTAGCAGGCTATTTCACTCAGGGTCTTTAAATCAGCAGTATCCAGCCAACGAGATGAGAATCCTTCAGTAAGAGAAAACTTATAGACAAATATTCCATATTATGACATGATGATTCTGGTGTGAAAAACTTTCTATTCTTCGATTTGACATTAGGTAGTCACCAGTGTCATGCGCTTAGTCCTTGGTGAGTATTGGTGCAGACTGAACTCAATCAGTCAAGTTTGCTATATGACCGGTATGCTTGATGGCTTGCCATCATAGTACACTCTGAAATGCTGTTATTAGATGGTTAGAAGTAATCAGGAAGAGGACTTGTTCCTAGATTTCGTGCTTTCTAGTACTCACCAACAAAGCGTATCTGTAATCATACACCTTCTGAGATTTATCCCACATCTGATAAAACTCAGTCTTCACTAAACGAAAGACTAGACGGATAACATTAGTTATTACCTAGTGTTCAGTCAAAGTATCCAATAACGTCAGACCTACAGGAGATGAATCGCAAACCCTAAATAGCTCAGTTGTAACGTCTATGACTTGAGTTGGCTGAAGTCAGTGAGTCTATGATTTTGGTATTATTTTTGTTAACTGTACCTGACTGTGATATCACTGCTAAGGCTTTTTTTGTTATTGTTGTTGTCGCTTGTTACCAAGTGAAAAGCAACAAGTTGGCAGAAGAAACATCCGGAGAAGATAGAACTTCAGGTGAACATAGATAAAACAGAGGTGATGAAGATTCCTGGCCAACACCAACAGCAACAACAACAATCAGCCAGCATAAATGGGAGGAACCTGAAAGAAACAACCTCGTTTACCTACCTACCTTCCTGGGAAGCATCGTTTCGACTACAGGCGGAACTGACGAGGATAACAAAGCAAGAATCGGAAAAGCAGGACAAGCTTTCATTACTATCAAGTCTGTGTGGAAATAGATCAACAGCACTCAGCATCAAAAGTAAGATCCGGATTTTCAACTCCAATGTGAAATCAGTTAGTGCTACGCACTATACGGATCAGAGACTTGGACAGCGCGTCATGAAGAGCATCTCAAACAAACTACAGACCTTCATTAACAGTTAGCTGTCTTCGCTCAATACTTAAGATCAGATGGTTGGTCAGGAAAAAATCACCAACAGGGATCTCTGGCAATAAGTGAACCAACCAGGAACCGATTGTGCAACAAATAAGCAGGAAGAAATGGAGGTAGACTGGTCATACTTTGAAGAAACCATCAAGTGACATCACTAGACAAGCCATTGCTCGAGTGGAACCCGAAAGGGAAGCGGCGAGTTGGTCGTCAGTGCAAGGGTGAGTTGGAGGAGGTCATGTGAAGAGGAGATGAAAGCATGTGGGCAGACTTGGAGCGGGGTGAAAAAGTTGGGAGAGAACCGAACGCCACGGAAACGCTCGGCTGAAGCCCTATGATCCTCTAGGAATTAAAGCAAATAATAATAACGTTTATGACTGAAGCACTGTGTGATCTAAGTACGGATTCCACAAATGACATGATTTCCTTAAACATGGCAAATACACCATGTTGATGAGGGCCAACAAGCACGAGAACTAGGTTTGAGGCTTCCTTCCAATAGCCTCCATTCTTCAAACAACCTTTTAGTCTGTCAAAAAAATACTAAACTCACCCTCTATAGATATAAATTTACACAGAGGAATTAATGAAACACTGAGCAGACATATGTACAAAAAACTGACATTTGGCGGACACCTAAACCTTCATATAACTGGATATTCATGGACTGTTGTTGATGATGACTCTTATTGTGCATCTGAAGTTTTGTTAACCAAAGAAAAGAGATTATATATCAATAACATTTATTTGTACAGAAGAGGACAGTGTTCACATACAAATATAGAAACAAAACAATAAAGAATATTATTTAGACAACACAATCATACAAACAATGAATACATCTCAACAGAAAGATTTTCTTCAAAAACAGTAGTCTAACACAGTCTAACACAACTTTCAGGCAAGAAGATAACCAAATTTCTGTACATTAAGTTTGAAATTAAAGTTGAATTAGCCGCTAGAACCCTGAAGGGCGGGATTTTAAAAAACCAGCATTCAGCAAAGTATTCTCACATGAAGAAGAGAAGGAGAAGCATAATTACAAAATGTTTTATTAGAAAAACAACAAGAAAGCATCTCTTGCTAAAATCGACAATGGCATACTTTTAGCCGGAAAAGATGAATGAATTCATGAATCCTCTCGAAAACTGATCACACTGCATTCCTCTCTTATCCAGTATATGATCCAATTGAGACTAAAATATGTGTAAAGTAGGCCTTATACTTAATTGATCGTATATGATAGTTTAAACTTGTCAATCCATCATATGGCATACGACATACAGCAGTTTTCAATAATTTCACATGTTCCGACACCATAGATTGGGATTGTCGACTATGCGGTATAACCTGATAACGTGCTATTGATTCATCTGCATGAATACATTGAATACCAGCCGTTTTTAATCTTATCTCCATATCATCATCTTCTTGACCCCATCCCCAGTAGCTATTTGAATAACCGTTGACAGTTAAAAAGTGTTCAATGGATATTTTCAATACACCACCGATTAAAGTATCATAGAGAAGTGTGAAATTTCTTGTATCCAGTGCAACACCTAAATGAACTGGTGTTAAAGCTGTCTGCTCATCACATCCATATGGGATACGATCATTTAAAGGATTTAAATCAGTATCATGAAATATAATACAGTTGAAATGAAATAATTTCATCGCTTCTATAAAGCCTATATTCATTAGCATAGCTTTATTTATCAGCTGTGTTTCTTCTTGTTCAATCACAAATATACGATAGCATAAATGTTGTTTTTGTAAAATTGATATCAAATTAGGCAATACCTTGTTGAGTTGTTTCCATCGATTATTACAAACGAAAAGAATAGCTACACCAGATTTTGGATAAGAATTACACAAATCGCCTGAATTCACTGACTTTCTGTTATCTTTAAACATCCAAGATCCACCAATTAAATGATGTGAAATAATGTTAGTTTTCTGTGACGCTTTTCTTCGATTCTGAGGTATTTTTAACTGTTTACAAATTGTCTGGCAAGTTTGTTTATCTTTGGTATTCATCAAATTCACTTTTTGTAATACTTCCAGTGTGTAATTAAACTTAGTGAGGGGAATATATTTACAAGGTGTATGTAAATTCGATAAATTTGAAATGGTAATAATAATGAAAGTCAATATAAAGATAATTGCTATTGATAAGAAGACTTTTGTACATTTATGCCCAAAACACATTCCAATAGAAGTGAAATGTTTATTTCTTTCAATTAATTCATAGACCATTGCCATGTTATGTCATCAGGTTATCTGTAGATAACCAATTAGAATTGAGGTCATCAGAGTAGTAATTTACAGTAAAGGTTTGCATGATAAGTAAGTGGTGTGTAATAAGGTCATTAAGTGGAATATATCAACTTATATCAAATAGGATTTGACTCAATATAGATGGATTAGCTGTTTGTGTGTTCACGTCAGTGTAGATTTAATCTCTTCTTAACAATAGAGAAAATGACCATTTAGATGTTTGAAAGACAAGAGAAAATTGGAGTAGAGAATATTCTTTTCAATAATTTTCTCTTCTGACACTACAATTATATATGTATACATACGTTTATATGCATGGAGTATTATTATAGAATAATCGTCGTTAACAGTATTTGTGTTTTTAAATACTATCGATTTGTTTAAGTAAGATCAATGGAATTACAGTTCACTAAAGATGCATAAATTATAATAAGCAAAACAAAATGTAATACCGAATAGAATACCAAATAAAATTAAGGAAATCTCTACAACAAATTGAGGACGATTGCAACCATGATGACCAGAGGGGTAAGGACAGTGTCTGAAACAGCCAACTTCTTTTAGATATGAATAAGGTATTAAGAAGACAAATTTCGCGAGATGATATCGTCATTTCGTAGTTTCTTTACAACCGCTTTACAACTAACATGGTTAACAATGATAAAATAAAGTTCATGAAAATTACTCAGTTAAATAACAAACAAAAGTACATACTAATGACCAATCATATTTAGATAGGTCATGCAGTCCAGGGTAGGCGAAGATTGAAGTCTATTGATTTTTGTACACACAGTTTAGGCTGTATGTGATTAATCCAAGGTGCTTCCATCACCTTCAGTAACCAACCTTGAATTAGAGTTATGTGAAATAATTGTGAAACAGTCATTAATATTTATTTTGTGACCAGACATTAATAAGTGTTTTGCAATGGATGATGCTGGATTTCTATTCAGATTAATCGCGTTGGGATTTTCTATATGATTTAGTAGCAATTTTGGAACATGCTCTTTCGATGACATTGGAACATTCTGTTAGTTCTACCTATATATGTGTCACTGCAGCTGCAGGTGAACTTGTACATACAGTTTGAAGTAGAGTCCACGGAATTTCGTCCTTTAATCGTAGGTACAGGGATCGAAAATGTTCGGCAAATGAGAAAAAGAGATGTGGCGGCGTAGAATGTGCGTTTGATGGCTGACCGAAGTCTTTGAACTGTCAACTGCATAATCTGGTCGCCCTTGAATGTTAGATTAATAAAGATAGCTTTCTTTGGTACAGAAGCTGTCTTTTCGGGATGTGGTCTTTCTTTACTGTGACAAGTGATAAAGTTTACCGGATAACCATCAATAGACTTCAATATTTGCCTACCCTGGACTACATCACCTATCTAAATATGATTGGTCATTAGTATGTACTTTTGTTTGTTATTTAACTGAGTAATTTTCATGAACTTTATTTTATTTTATTATTGTTAACCATGTTAGTTGTAAAGCGGTTGTAAAGAAACTACGACATGACGATATCATCTCGCGAAATTTGTCTTTTTAATGCCTTATTCAAATTTATCAAAGGGACTAATTGTTTTAATTCTTTTAGATATTTAAGTTAGGTTTCTTAATGTGGATCCCAATAGCTCGCCTCAGCAATATGTATGTAGTAGACGAACTATCAAGGTAAAGTTACTTGGTATGTGGTAAATGATTTTCAAAACCTGGTTGATATCAATCTTGTGTTATGTATGTACACGATGAGATAGAACAGAGTTGTAAATGGATTTTGTTTGTCTCTTACTTAACCACGCAGGATAATGTTCGGAAATCCGACGAGAAACACGCCTAATTGTACGGCCTTCGTAACTAACTGGCTCCACTGGAGAAGTCAAATCAGTGGATATACGTAGAAGAGGCGAAATCATGTAGTTTATCTTCAGCTCCCGAACGCAAAATAGAGGTAGGTCCAAGGTTGCTCACAATCTCTGATCTCTTCATCACACTACCTCCTTCATATCACCCCAGGAGGACACACACGTTGCTTCCTATTGGAATTCCACTCCAGTGCCTGGCGCACGATGTCATTCAACGGTCTCCTCAAAGTAAACCCCATCCATCTCCATTTTTCTCCTACATATTTGTTGAGAAATAGGCTCTTGTTTGTTGGTTTGTTCCCAGAATACTTTGTTCCTATTTGTTTCTGGCCATTTGATCTTCAGTATGGAGCCAGCTATTGAATGTGACAACTGTTGACAAAATTCTACAACTTGTTGGAAATCGTTTTCGTGACACGCTGGCTAAGTTACTGACCCGTATAAAAGGACCGACTTGACATTTGTGTTGAAAGTGCGAATCTTGTTTCTTATGTTGAGTGCACAAGATCTCCAAATTAATTTCAGAGTGATGAAAGTCTATCTTACCCTTCGGATTTCTGCTGGCTGGTTAGCTGGCTTTGACATCTTCATCCGTTCCGCCTGCAGCTGAAACGTTGCTTGCTAGATAACTGAAGGAGGTAACCTCTGTTAAATCTCTCCCATTGATAGTAGGTGATTGGTGCTGGTTGTTGTTGTTGTTGATGTTGCTGTCGGTTGGTTGGATATCTTCCATCCCCTCCGTCTTCTCTATTGTCACCTGGAGTCCTGTTTTCGCTGCCTATGTGTTTCTACTGCTAGTTTGTTGGTTTTTGCCTGTAAGTCTCTGAGTTTGTGTGACACTAAACATAAATCATCCACTTGCAAAATCCAGATCTTCTAGAGTCTTGTTATCGATGACCTAGCGTATTCCTGTCTTATCACTTCCAACGCATAGTCTGATACACAATCCAATCCACCACAATTAAGAATATCATCGTGAATGATAGATAATAAGCAGCCAGCTTGTCTTACTCCTTTATTCACACAGAACGCCTCATTGAGTTTTACGTTATAAATCATCTAACATGTGGCATTGTCATATAGTCAGCTGTTGGATGAGGTTGATGAAGATTTTTGCATTGCACACCATGGTGTTGAAATAGTTTCTAAATTACCTCTCGGTCAACACTGTCTGTGGAAGGTTTTTTCGAAGTCGACGAAGCTGAAGTAGAGTTTTGACCGACATTCTCTATGCTTTGTTATGAGATGAGGATGAGTAGAGTTGCAATTTGATCAGCAACAAATTAATGACAGTTAAAACAATACTGGCCAACACAGTGACTGTAATAATGTGGCATTGATGGAAACAGTGAAGTTTATATTTGAAGAACTCATAAGACAAAATATCCATTGATGTTATTAACATTCTTTTATCTACTTGAAGGAACTGCATTTGATATGCCCAAATGAATATTGATTGTTGTTGTTTATTTAATGAGGAAATCTACAGACAAACTGATGACTTCGCTATGGTGTGATCACTAGGTCGGTACATTCATTTTCGAAGTACAGACGCAATTTATTAAATCCATGAAACTTATACCACTTAAACCGTCCACAACTTCTGCTTCCAAAAAGTGTGTCTACTTGAATCTACAACTCAAAGGAGACTCATCAGGAGAAATACTGAGAAACCGCATGTATCGCTAACTGAAGAAAACCTTCTTCATGACTGAACTTCAAATAACTCTCTCTACGACAGCAGTGGTTCGCATGAACGTGAAAGATAAATTATCACCACTGACCTCCTCAATATGCATCTACCAATTCCCCTGCTCCACATGTGGAGCTAGTTATATATGTTAGCCGTGCGCAGCTTTCGCCATTCAAACGTATCATCGAACACTTACCCACAATCATGGTTTTATAAAGGATAAAAAATGATGCCCACTCACACCACAGCTCTATCTTCGAACACCTGATCGAGTCTGGACACCAAGCTAACCTACAAAGGAACTTCAAAGATATCTACAGAATACGTGGGAATCTCGCTAAAATAGTACGAATCAAACTTCTTCAAAGTCCAGAAGCAATGACGATTCACATGTTAAACCATGAAATCTGTATACAAAAGAAGTTTGTTCTGTCACTAAATCTACAATGGACCTCATCTATCTGAACACCAAATACGCAATTTTTGTTTTTTGTCGCTCACTTGTATAATTTTCTTCCCTCGTCCTACCCCCCCCCCCTCTATTAAATCTCTACGCCTCATCATCACTGTTGTTAACTTGACTCTCGTTCAAATTTTAGTTGAGTTCTACTCAAATCCGTCAATTATATTACGCAACTCAACTTATTTCACTTTCAACCTGATTAACTTTTTCAACATTACGTAATTTGCTATCTTAAATTAGCAACTCTAATGATACATATTTGAAAATATTCGTTTTGTTACTACTATATATATATGTATATATAAGACATATATATTTGCGACTGTACATCATGAGAATGATATCGCCGAAAAGAGCGACTCTTCGCTGGACGCCTTTTCTTTTACATATCCATTTCATTTCGTTCTCTTAGCTGGCTCCAAGATTGGCTATAATAACTCATCTCCACGTCACATGATCCTATCCATGTCATCCTGAGACGGGCAACTCTTCGTCTCTTATCCGAGTTCCACTCGAGGTCCTGATGTATTGTGTCACTCAACTATCTCCACCTTTCTTCGGCGTTATAGATTCTTGTTTTGTCTCGCTTCCAGAGATCCACGTTGCTTATCCTTTCTGGTCATAGGATCTTCAGTATCAAGACAGTATCAAGAAATTATTAGCACCTGTTGATGAAAATCTTTAGCAGACTGGTGAAAAAGCTTTCCGTGACTCATCCAATTCTTTCAATCATGTAGAAGCACTGATTTGACATTATTGTTGACAATCTGATTGCATATGATTTCATCACTAAATCCTTACAATAGGAAATACTGCAGGAAACTATATATGGTTCAATATAAAATGTTAGTTTCGTCTTTTGGAATTTTATAAATTCATAATAAATTATACTATTATAAGTAGACAAATTTAAAAACACGAAAATCCTAGTAACTTGCATTATAATAAAGGTTCTCTTGTATTTCCCAATGAATGAAAAACAAAACGATATTTGCTGTTTTTACTGACGTTTCGCTATTTAATGCTAATAGCTTTATCAAAGTATTATTAAACCAAAAATTTACAAAATCCACTCAGCATATATCTATAACAAAGAGTTAAGAGGTGAGAAAATAGACTACTTAGGTCAAGTTAAAAGAAGGACATATTGAAAGTCAAAATAGCAATGAAGATCACTAAACCAAATAACAAAGGTAATAGTACGTCTGTTATTATATCAAAACAAAGTTTACTAACTTGATCATCGTTCGTTAGTCTGGGGGCATTTTTGTTTGTCAAGTTGGTCAATTGGTAAAGATAACAAAACCAAGTGTAGGTTGTTGGATTTGATCAGTGTGTAAAATTATGAAAGTAGCGTGTGCTTACATAATGAATTTGTTTATCACATTCGTGTTGA